CCGGCCCTGCGCCCGCAGGTTAGACGACAGGAAAAGCCGCGCCAGCCAGCTGTCCGCAACTTTGTTCTTCTGTGTGATCACCACATCATTCATCTGTATGTTATGAATAGGGCTTACCGGCAAACGGCATACCTGGTCTGTACCAGCGGCAAAGACAATGGAGGTATCCAGGTACCATTCTTTACTGATGGTGATGGAAGCTACCGGAAACTTATCCAACAGGCGAATCCTAAAATATCCTTCCTGGTCGGTTAATGCGGCCACCAGCTGATGACGTTCGTAGACGCTCGCATCTGTAATGGCCATGCCGGTCGTGGCATCCAGCACATAACCGCTGAGGGTATACCATTTCTCCCCGGCCTGCTGCAGGATGATATGCCCCGCTGTTTCCTTATAAGTACAGGTGCCGCCCAGCAACTTATCCAGCGTTTCTTTAACGGTCTGCTGCACTACGGTAATGCTTACGATCTTATCGCCTGGTATGACCTTACTATTGTAGGAGAAATAAAACCCGCCTTGTTTGCCAATCGCTTTCAGTACTTCCGACAAACGTTTATTGGTGATGCTCAGGGTAACCGGCTTTTGCAAAAAGCCCTGAGCACCGGCCGTTGTGACCAGTGCTAAGAATACCAGGATCAATATGTTTTTCTTCATTGAGATTATCTTCATGCAACTGACAATCCTACTTTGCTTTTAAAATAAATCGGCCCCTGTCTTTTTCTATTGATATATTAAAGGTCTCCCCGATGACGGACAGGATATTTTCCAGAGAGTCATCATGGAAGGTTGCGGTATACAATTGATGCTTCAGCTTTTCATCCCCGATTACAATATTGGTATCGTATGCTTCATTGAGCACGTCCACCAGTCGCCAGAGCGGTGTGTTATTACAAACGAATTCCTTAGTACGATAGTAATTGTACAATTCATCTTTACTGACTGCTTTTATGGGTTGGCTATCTGAGTTCAATACAATGGCCTGTTCATTAGCGGTTAATGTGATCGCGGCTTTGCGTTTGCTGACTTCCACCACTCCGGTTTCTACGATCACTTCTGTTTTCTCTG